TTCTGGTTATAATGGCACACACCTTTAATCCTAGCATTCAAGAGGCAGAGGCAGGGAATCTCTTTGAGTCTGAGGTCAGCCTCGTCTAGACAAAAAAACAAGGCTGTATAGTGAGCCCTTGTTTGAGATATATACCTATATCTGTATATACATATAAAGGGAGACTATATTAATTGCAGGTGCAGAGTGCTAATGGGAGAGCCCCGCTGCCTGCCAGATAAAATCTAACTTGATATACCTGGAGGGGACCTCTTGATTCTGAGTCTTGTCCTGATATAGGGAATCTAAACTGTCAACAGTTAATATCTCTCTCTCTCTCTCTCTCTCTCTCTCTCTCTCTCTCTCTCTCTGTCTCTCTCTCTCTCTCTGTGTGTGTGTGTGTATGTGTGTGTGTGTGTGTATGTGTGTGTGTGTGAAGCATATATTTGGTAATTTATGAACCAGAGACAGTGATGATATGGGATGCCCCTCTATGCTGTGAATATGTTTATATTCATTGGTTAATAAAGAAGTTGCTTTGGCCTATGGCAGGGTAGAATATAGCTAGGTGGGAAAGCCAAACTGAATACAGGGGGAAAGAAGGTGGAGTCGAGGGAGACACCAGCAGCTACTGGAGAATCAAGATGTGAGGTAACAAGCCATGAGCCTTGTGGTAAAATGTAGAATAATAGAAATGGATTAATTTAAGTTACAAGAGCTAGTTAATAAACCTGAGCTAATAGGCCAAACAATAATTACAATAATTTGTAATTAATATTAAGCCTCAGAATGGTTATTCAGGAACTGATGGATAGGAGAGAAGCCTCTAGCTATACAGTAAAACTTGATAAAACTACAGGTTGCTTTTTTTCTTTCCTTTTCTTTTCTTTTTTTTTTTTAAAGACAGGGTTTCTCTGTGTAGCCCTAGTTGTCCTGGAACTAGCTCTTTAGGCAAGGCTGGCCTTAAACTCAGAGACCCTCCTGCCTCTGCCTCCCCAGTGCTAGGATGAAAAGAGTGCACCACCACACCCTGTTCAAACAGAGCAGTTTTAACAGTATATTATAACACACGTTCTATGCGTGGAGTAGCTCAAAATAACCCTGCTCTGTATTATATGTAGGGTTGGTACTGTCTTTGGAGGGAATGATTAACTTACACCATGGAAAGTAAAATCACACATCAGGAGTCTTCAGCCCTTACTGTGGCCAAAATCACATTTCTGCCTAGATTAAGTCTTTGTCAAATGTATTCACCAGAGAACATGAACTGGTCACTGGCCTGCTTCCTTGTGATAGTGGACAAGAGCAGGTAACATGGTGGTCCCATAGGATGATTTATTCAAGTTATAGAAAAGTCTGGGCTGCCCTCCTTCCCAGGATAAGAGACACTCTCTGGGTCTGATGAAATAGAGTTCCCTGTAAGGGTCTTTAATAGTCTTATTTCGCTACTCTACATTAAGGTAGTATTATAGCTGGTAGCTTTTTCTTAGCATCTTACAAAGGATTAAGTCTTCCATGGCATTAAATATAGTTATTGTCCCTATATTGTCTCCATCAAGATTTCAACTTGTCCCAGTCACCTCCCTCTGTACTCAATGGCAGCACATGACAGTGTTCTTAGGTCATAGGCAGGATGGAGGATCCACTCTACATTACCCTTGGCAGAGAGCTCACATGCCTTTCAAGGGGCCTTTCTTCTCAAAGTCCCACCATTTTTCTCTCACTTGGCCCTTGTTCCTTTCTCAGGGGCCCTGATTTAAAGTTAGCTCTAAATACAGGAAACAGTCAAGGACATCTGACAGCCAGCATCCCAATTTTAACATAAGCCACACCTGCCCAAACTCTCTGCCTTGCCTATCATTGTGACTTTCATTTTAACCAGGTGCCAAACAGTCACTAATGAATATTTACAGTGGAGATGGTAACTTGTTGCAACCCAGTTTAAGACATGATCTAGTTTCTTTGGTTTTACCTCCAAAGGATTTAGGGCATACAATTGTCCTGACTGGCTGGGGCTTCACTGTTTCCTTTCCCAACCCTTTACTTCAGATCTTCAGTTAGGAATGAGCATTACATAAAACAAGTTTACATAACAGCACCAGTACCACATAATCACATATTATGGTTGGTGATAAAGGAAAAATAAGCACTTCCCATAGCATGACTCTCTCAAAAGAATTTAAATTACAAACCTAAACTGAAACCTCTTAGGTTTTACTAGAGTTACAGAACTGATAATGTCCAACTGGGATATATAAATTACCATGTTCAGAGCCACCACTTGACTCTTAATCAAATCCTCCTGCTACTTAATCTAAGGTGCAATCCCTCTTGATAATTGGCAGGTGACATTTTCATAGGAAGCCACAGTATATTTATATGTTGTGTGTGTGTGTGTGTGTGTGTGTGTGTTTAAGCTGTGCCCTCTATCCTATTGGCTGAGGAAGTGAAGAATCATTCTAGCTTTTGAAATGTTCAGCTTTTAGGAAGTTGAAAACCTTGGATGTTGCAGTTCTCTTCTTCGGGGGTGGTTTGGGAAGAGGAAAGACACTGTTTTAAGAGCGTGGTTGGGGTCTGTTTTGTACTGTGCTGTGTGGGCTGTGAGTTCTTCCCACTTTACAGATTATGTCAAACTGCTTGTTGAGAAAGGTGTGTTATCCAGCTTTTGTTTATAAAACACCAGAAGCTTGGGAATGTTAAATATATGAACCCAGTATTTCAAAGTGAGTTTAGAGCCCATGTTTTTAATATTTAGCCTGGAGTCCATGAACTTTCTCCACTAAAACCGCCCATGAATCCCACATCTGATGAAAGAAGACTAACTTCAGTATGACAAACCTGATTATGCCAGGCCTCCTTTCTGGAGGTGAGATTGTGATCTGAGGTGAACAGCTGTATAAGCCAGGACAGTTGGAGATTAAACGCAGGTGGCCAACAGGAAATGCTATGCTGTTCATAGCTTCCCACTTGTTGCTTGGTGCCCTGCATGCTGAAAACTGAATCTCCTTGCTAGGTGGCTGCAAAGTTCCAATAAAGACGTTTTGTTTTGCTTCGTGTTTCCGGGGGATGGTGTAACTATGCAGCCTGACCAACAAATGCCACACAGCCCTGACCAATGACTCATGAGCTCAACTGTGAGATCTTGCGTCAGTTTCAAAATATTATTTATAATTACCTAAGCCACATAGCCAAGAACTTATCACAACTCGTTATACTATCTTGGCTCTTTTCTAATTTAATCTTTATTTTTCTAAAAAAAAAAGTGTACAGTGAAGAAAAAGACGATGTATAATAGATATCTATATTAAAATACTTTTATATAATAATTTTTTCCTAAGTTAATGTTGAATTGTTTTCAAGTTGTATATATTTTTTAAACATAGGATCTCTAGTAAGATTGACCTTGAACCCCCTATATAGAAATGTGATCTTGAACTTCTGACCTCTTGGCTCTAGAGTGCTGGAATTATGGGCATGTACCAGACACCCAATTTATGTAGTGTCAGGACTTGAACTCAAGAACTTGTGTGTGCTAAGCACTCTACCATGGAGCTAAATGCCCAGCCCTAGACGTTAGAAAGCTAAAAAAAAAAAAAAAAATACAATCTCGGGGCTCGGGGGAGCAAAACTAGCCCTGTCCCCAAGGAAAACAAACCTTTAAAGGTTATTTTGTTGTTGTTACAATTTCTGTTAACCATCTTATATCCTTCTTCCCTCCCTCTTTCTGTCTCTTCTTCCGTCCCTGCCCCCTCATTTTCTGAGATAGGGACTAAGGTGGAGTCTGATATGACCCTGAACTCTCCATTTTCTTCCTTCCACGTGTATCCAGAATGCTGGGATCATGAGTCTGGGCCACCACACACTACTTTTGTGTGTAAGTATAAAACAGTGATGGGACTGGAGAAATGGCTCAGCTGTTAAGAGCACTTGTAGTTAATCAGGGGTTTGGTCCCCAGTAGCCAAAAGACAAATCTCAGTGGTCTGAAACCCCAGTTCCAGGAGATGCATTGCCCTCTTCTGGTCTCCCAGGGCACTGTAAGCAGGCGCCGGTGCGTGCACACACAACACACACAACACACACACACACACACACACACACACACACAGACACCACATGTTTTAAACATTTAAAGACAATGGTGATGTTAGAGTGAATTTCTTTCTGTTTTATACTCCTACCACCAAGCTAATTAGAAGAGAGAGAAGGAAAAAAAATCCAGTATCTTCTGTAGACAATATAGTGAAAAGAGAATAAGAATACTTAGCTATAAAACAAAGAGGTGGCACCCTGAGCTTAGGTGTCCCTTGTCAGCTGTTGTCACTGGGTGATACACAGTTGAAAATGATTGATAGTTTCACCACTAAAAAGAGCTTCTCTTAATAATGGTAGCTAGTGAGTTGAATCCCACCGTGCATGGTATAGTGGAAACTGTCTTTACATTAAATAAGAATGGAGGGCTGTTTAACCTCTGCAAAGAAAATCTTTGCTCAGCAGCACTCCTGGTGTATGTGGTCAGGTGAAGGCGGCAGTATTTTATCAAGCCACCTGCTCTCTTGTGGGATTGCTGACAGCCAAGCCTCTTTATGTCATGAGCATAGCTAATAGATGGGGTCACTAGTTTCCATCTTCCCAGAGGGTGACATTTGATAACAGGCCAAGCAAAAGAGAGCGACAGGCACGTGGGAGGGGCGTTGTCCAGCCAGGAAGGAGGTTGAGCTCAGAGCCTCAGGAGTGAAGGAAACAGAAAGGGTCCGGAGGCGTGTGGGCCACAGCAGAGTTATTTACGGGGTGCAACTTTCCTTGGAGACATTTTAGGAGCAGACTGGGTTGTGGGCGTCCGGGGAAGAAGTGCTTTGTCCCAGGGTATATGTTTGGTAGGGCAGGTGGCATGGCGGAACGGAGGGGCACCTCCGCAGCCCTCCCTGCACCTCAGCCACCCCACCCCCACCCGCTCTCCGCTCCGCCCCCATCTCCACCCACCCTTCTCAGGTTTCCCTGGGAGTCGCCATGGCAACGGACGCTGGCTTTGGGACTGATCCTTTCAGAACTCAGAGCAGGCGCTCAGCCAGCAGGCATGGCGGAGGCTGAGACTGAGTACTCCGAGGATAGGTCAAAGATCCAAGGATGCCGGAAGATTCTCGAGACCCTCCAGGGGGCTATTGAACAATTCCAATACAACCCCAGGTGACCTGCCCGCTGAGCCCACGTGCCCCAGAGCAGGCCCACAGCCTCGTGTCTTTTGATTTCTTAAGTAAACCGTAGCTTAAAAGCTCGGACTCAGGACTGGATTTCAGTTCTGCCTAGCTTTTCACCCCGACCTGACTTAGGCGGTTCACTTCTCTATGCCTCTATTATCTCAGGTGGGAACAGGACAGTGGCCAACTGTGCCTGCTCGTCATAGAGCACAGGGCGTGTTAAATGTGTTCACCTAAGTACGGTCTAGAAGAGAGCCATACAGAAATGGCACAGGGCTGCTTTAAGAAAAATACCAGAGACTCCAGCTCTTAAACACAGATTTCTTTGGCTGTTCTAAGGCCGAAAGTCCAAGTACTGGGCACTGATTTGGTGTCTTGTAGTCCTTTCCCATAAACACTTTCTTTGGGACCTGCAGGGGTGCTGTCTCCCAACTTCCCCACTCTCTACCACCACCACCACCCTAACTTTTTTTTTTTATAACGGTACAGTTCTATTTCAGAAGTTCCCACATCATGATCCGTTCATCTCTCTTGACCCCATATCTAGAAGCCATCAAAAAGTAGGGCGTTGACATGGATTTTCTTAGAACTAGAGCACCCCCCAAAAGCACAGAGACAGTGAGTCATACGCCTTTGCGTTATTTCAGGGTCCTTGGCTTTCATTCCTCCTTCGTGGGATTCTTCGACCTCAACCCTACTATTGTTATCTAGATAATGTGGAGTTGACATTTCTTGGGTGGGGGGGACATTTTTCTTAAAACATCTTTCAAAGTAGTGGGCACAAAGCCTGGGTTAACTGCTATAAGATGCAGTTTCTTCATAGGCAGAGCCCTCGGGGAGCCAGGTAATCGTTTCTAGGCAAGTCCAACACCGTGGTAGCTCCAGGTTGCTGGGGTGTGGGTAGGGGTGGGGAGGTTGACTATAGCTGGACCAGTCCAATAGTGGGCTTGACTCAGTGACGCAATCCTGCTAAGCCCAGCCTCCCTAGTGCAACTGTATTAAATAATAGGTACTTTGATCAAACTGAGTCAGAGTGCACACAGACCCTAACAAAGGTACTTAAAGACCCTGATATGTGTCAAAAGCACATCACAGTCAGTTCTTGGTAGACAGCAGTGGGGCGCTATGTATAATCTGTTCCTAAGAGTCCCTTTCTCTTCCGGATTTCTTGACATTCCACAGTGAAATAAGTCCCCAGCAACATTCCAGCCAGACTCAAGGGACTGACTGACCTCTGCCGAGTACTGTACTAACACACATTGACTAAGTCCAGGAACCACTAACCCCCCATAACAATTTTTCTTCACCCAAAAGTTCAGTGAACCAGGTTGGAGATCTGAAATGAGTGGGAGAAGCTGAACACTCCCCCAACACTCAGGGATCTGAGCATAGCTGGGTTAGGGCCTGGGAAGACAGCCATTCACACAAAGCCAGCTCAACCATGGTGAAGTAAACATTCTAGTTAGGAATCAACGGCAAACTAGTTAAGTCAGTGACCACATGAGTGAGGCAGCATTAACAGAAGAGACAGAAGCAAAGGGTAGCAGAGGAAATTGTGTGTGCATGTGCCATACCTCCAAGTCACCAAGCAGAAAAAAAAAGGGGGGGGAATTATAATTTTAGATATGGCTCTCAGAAATACTTCACTGTGCTGACATTAAGAAGAAACTGCAGGGAGGAGCCAGGCAGACATCTCTGGAGCCAAAACCCTGGCTGAGAGAAGGTGAAGGTAGGGAGTCTGGGTCTAGGAATACAGGAGGCCTTCTTGGCTGTAGCGTAGACTGGGGTGAAACAGAAGAGAGACAGCCAGATTCCAGGGTCTTAGATTGCCTCAAAGACTTCAACTTTTATTTCCAAGGAGGTGGGAGGCCAAGAGGGTACTGACGTAGAGTCCCGACATTCTCTGACTTACCTATCTATTGGCTTGCTCTGCTGTTTTGATAACAGACTATAACAGGGTCAAGGGCACAGGTGGGGAAACCAGTTAGGGGACTTTTATAATATCTATCAAGGAGTATGGCCATGGGGACTTGCTATGAGGGCCTGAGTGTATCTACAGCCATGTACAAAGCTGAGCACAGTGAAGCAAATCTGTAAGCCCAGCTCATGGGTGGAGGTCCCAGGTGCTCACTGCCAGCCACTGGTCTAGCTGATATAGCTAGAAGCCGGAATTCATCAAGTGGTCCCATTCCAAAAAAATAAGGAGGCACACAATAGAGGAAGATGCTCAACACTGACTTCTGGCTTCCACATGCACACATGTGAAGGCAAGTTCACTTTCCCATGCTCACACACAAGCAGATAAGCAGATAATGTTTGTGGAATGGTGGTCATGTGGTCACTGGAGAACAGGAGGCAGTCCTTGGTGGAGCTGAAGATGTGATCAGATTCTAATTACTCCATTAAAAGGGATTGGTCAAGTTTACTGATGGACTGCCATGCTTAGGACAGGCTCCAAGGTTTCTGACTTGAGTAGCTGGAAAAATGGGGTTGCAATTAACTTTGTTGATAAAGGGAATGTGAGCAATAGGATGTGGTGATGTGATAAGTTCACCTTGGGATGCAGAATATCAGCAGTGACTGTTAAAACATCTGTTTAAGCAGTTCAGTAGTGAGGCCTACAGGTTAGACAAGAGGTCCAGTTTGCTAAATCAATTTGGAAATAATTTGTAAAATGATGCCGTGTTAAGTAAACTATAAGATTTGGTGATATCAGCCAGGAAATACATATATAAATTTATATATTATATACATATATATTGATTTTTGATTTGATATAATATATATCAAATATATCTTTGAAACAGAAAACAATAAAAGAATATTTTCCTTAAATAACATTGAGCCATTCACCACAGTGAAAATTTAGCACCTCTAATGTCATCTTCATTGACTAATTCGTTAACTAGCATTTGTTAGGATGGACTATTCTAGGGCTCAGTGGGATGTGTTGCTGCAGTCTATTAATAAATATTCATGGGTCTGTTTCGTATAAGTTAGCATATTAATTTTGTGTCTAATTTATTAAACATAATTGTTATCTCCCAAGACTATGCTTTATGCATAACGAGCAACCCATTATTTGGGAGAATTGCACAGACTATAAATAAGGACTGTGTAGGAACCACTTAGCTAAAGTCTTGGGATATGGGCTTCCACTCTAGGCAGTGCTGTTAGCATCTAAAATTAGAGCTACTTCAAATTTGAAGAGAAGCTGAAGAATGAAGCTTCATATTTTGTTTAGATTCTGGATGAGCCAGATCTTTCTAAATCAATCATACAAGAAGTTAAGGCTGGGGCGGGGACCTTACACTCCCAGATCTGTCCCCCACCCCTGGTTTACAGTTTTAGATGAGTTATTTGCCTTTGTTAAACCTTAGTTTCCGCAGCTTTGAAACAAGATGTTGGAAAATTACTGGAAGAAGAAAAAGTGTAGATTAAAGCATACATCTCAACAAAGCCTCTGGGGCAAGTTACTCTATAAATAAGTGTATTGTTCTTAAACACTCCAGAGGGTTTATGTGTAAAATTAAATATGTTATCAATGTCCTGTTATAGTTACAGAAGGAATAACCAAACATATTATGCTTTTTTCTAAACCATAACCTGAAATAATATTTTGATAATAAAAACTATTCACACACAAAATTATCCACATTCTATAAAACTACTGCTCAAATAAAGTGGGGTTTTTTTTGCCTAAAATAGGAAGGAATAAAAGAACATAAATGTCAAGCCTAAGGGAAAATGAAGTTGAATAGAGAAAAGAAGCCACTTAGCATTGGGGGATGGTGAAAGATTACAGCTCTAAACTGGAAGAAGAATAACAGGAGGTCCCTTAAATGTACAGTGTGCAGCCTATAGAAAATCAGGGTATGTCCAGATGATGGGTTCTATCTGTTACATTGGTGCAGCACCCAGGGTTTGGACACTTTAGAATTCCCCCCTGACTAGGATAAATACTTATTTGGAGACAGCATGGGAGACGCTAACAGTTTCAGGCTAGTAATGGCGAAGAGACTTGACAGAGGTTGTCAGCAGCGCTGGTCTGCAGGGAAAGCTCACCCACTCGCTAAGGAACACCACAAAGTTAAGTCGGGCCTCAGCTCCTTACTGAGCAGGATCTTTTTGCTGTCTTGGCTGCTGTGTTTTTCAGTTGGCCTTTACCATGGCCATGGAATACTAAGACGCAGTTTGAGAACTCCAGGATTGCGCAGAGTCCTCCTTGACTCCATGTACAGCAAACACCCAGTCACCCCTTGATAATCAAATTTCAGTCGTTTCATGCAGGAGAGTGATCCCAATTTTATGCCTTCAGTTCAGTGGCCTAAGGATCGCAAAACAGCCAAGATCCCCGACTCCCAATGTCGTCACCGTTTCTACAGGGATGCTTATAGTCTGTCCCTATTCTTAAAAGTTCAACCATGTAACTCCTCCCAAGATGCTCCTGCCACCAGTCTTTTGCCTTCCTGGCCATCCATGCTCATAAGTTAATCTAGATGTCTACTCCAGGTGCTTCATCCAGAAGGAAGCGGCAGACAAACAGTTGCTCCAAATGTTAACAGCAGGAGAATATTCCTTCTTAGCTCTCACTCGTGATCACTTCTGGGTGGCTCTGCAGGACTGTACGAGCCTACCATGCGGCGACAGGTCCATCTGTTAATTGGGCTTGAGATTTTCCTATTCAGTCAGCTGCTTATGTCGCACAAGGACACAGAATGCATGTAGTCTAGAAGAGTTCTTCAGCCTTTCCCAGTTTTTTATGTATGTGACACTTGTACAAAGTATAGAGTTGACATTCTGTACACTAGTCAGCTATAACCCAGCCTCCTATGATGCGACACAACCAGATTCAGGTCATGTTTTTATTGCAGAAATGCCACAAGGAAGAGCTGTTCTCTCTTCAGGGATGCAATGTTGATAAAACTGTTCAATTAGCTACCGTTAGTAACAATGACCTTGAGCTGAGTTTGGTGGCACAGGCCTTTA